ATCAACGCTTCAACTAGAGTGGAACTATAACTATTTTTAGCTTCCTGGCGGTTTGTTTTTTAAATCAGAACCCCAAATGATGTACTAAATTGCATAGTTCCAACATTTTTTCCCCCTTTTAATTTATTCACAAATCAAATCACTTCCCACATTTGGCCTGTATTTTCTTTTTAAAAATTTAAATGTTTTATTTTGAGATAATTACATATTCAGTTTTGTCTTTTTATAATGTTGTTGTTAAGTGCTGTCAAGTTGGTTCTGACTCATAATGACCCTTTATAGGGTTTTCGAGGAGCAGATGATGTATTTAAACCACAGACCTTACAGTTCAAACTAACTGTTTGGCCCAATGCTTATCATATAGCGCCATACCAGAACTCCCCTTTTTAAATTAAAGGTACACTTTTATAAATATATTCACCATAAATAACCATACTTGTTTAAAAATACTGCCTTATCAAATTGTCCAAAGTGTAAGAAGAAATAGTCCAAACAATTTTTCTTTACTAAAAGAACACACATTCCATATACAAAATTTTGAAAACAAAGCTAGGTAAATGTGTACTGTTTTTGGTGGTGTTTTTTTCCTTTGTGTAGGAAGGGGGAGGCAGGAAGAAGGAGGGCAGGATGAGATAATAACCCCATTTAAAAACAACTAATAATCTTCAATCAAGAATAAAACTGTACATTTAGGACCTGCTAATCAACAATGTTCTAGTGTGGCGCTATGGGTTAATGCATCAGACTGCAAAGTCGTTTGAACTGCAAGTCGGTGGTTCAAGCTTACCAGCTGCTCTTCAGAAACCCTATACAGGGTCGCTACAGGTCGGAATTGACTTGACGGCACTTAATAACAACAACAAACAATGCAAAGGCTCATGAAAATTCTTAATTTGATAAAAATACAATCTACTCGAAGAAGAGCTTGGGGAAGTAACATAACTCCCAGTCTCATGTCATCATCCATATCTAAACTGGAGCATAGAACCAGAAGAGACAATACACAAAGAAACTGTAAATGGGAAGCTGCAGTACAATACACTGCTTTTATATATAAGCCTTTCTCTCCATGGCTGTCTTGTCGGTGATAAGTGTCGTCAAGTTGGTTCCAACCCAAAGTAACCTTGTATAGGGTTTCCGAGGAGCAGTTGGTGAGCCTGAACCACCAACCTTGTGGTTCAAATCGACTCTGCAGTCCAGTGCATTAACCCACAGTACCACAGCAGGACTCCCCCATCTTGTAACTCCTACTAAATACTTGGGTTAGTTGGTTGATTGGTTATGTGCCGTGGAGTCGGTTCCAACTCATAGCAGCCCTGTACAGGGTTTCCGAGGCTGTAAATCTTTACAGAAGCAGAAAGCCTCATCTTTCTTCCACAGAACAGCTGGTAGTTTTAAACTGCTGACCTTGCGGTTCACAGCCCAATTCGTAACCACTATGCTACCCAAGCTCCTAAAAGCTTGGGTTATTGTTAAGTGCCGTCGAGTTGGTTCCGACCCATAGCAAACCTGTATAGGGTTTCCGAGGAGCAGCTAGTGAGCTTGAACCAGACTATGCAAATGGGGTTGTGGGCCACCAAGAGGACTGGGGAGTTTGTTAATAATGCAAATAAGGTGCATGGTACCCTGGTGGGGGCAAAACCATGCAAATAAAGTGTATGAAATCCTAACAAGGGATTAGTTAGTTATGTCATCCTACTAAGGTTACAATGAGCCATCCCAAAGTGGATGGTGGGGACTCACTACCACCAAGAAAAGAGAGGGTTTGAAGTGCATCCTTTGGACCCATGGTCACTGCACTGAGAACCTCCTAGACCTGAGAGAGAGCGAGAGAGAGATCTGTAACACTGGAAAGGAGGAAGCGAGAGACTGAGAGGCAGAAGAAGCAAAATGAAAAGAGAAACAACAGAACCAAGAGACCAGCAGCAGCAGACGATGTGGTGGGATTCCCAGCTCAGGGAGTGAGAAAGCTAAGCATTTCTGAATAGGGATTGCTGACCCATGCGGAGCCTTTGAGCCAAGGTTTACAAGCAGAGTGGGGTGTTTCTGGGCATTTATTGGTGGAGCGAAAGAGCTTGTTGTGCAGGGTAGAGGTTAAGCCAACCCAAAAGGCCCAAGGGATTAACAGCTGAGAAGCTAAGGGTCTTGAACAAAGGAGAGGCCTGCTGTGGACAAGGCTGAGAAGCAGTCCTGAATGAAGAACTGTATCCCAATTCTTCCTGATCCTAAATTGTAACCTATTGCCTTCCCTAATAAATTCCATAACTGAGTCTGTGAGTTCTGTGTGGCCAATGCAACAAATTATAGCATCTAACAGACAAGTAGAGAATGTTGTGGTAGAGGTAGGTGGTATCAGAACTGGTAAAAAGCTTGGAGAGAGGAGGTATATCTGACCTTCACCTCACAGCAATCAGTCTTGGGCTACTGGCGCAAGTAATGATTTTCCTCCCTCTTATGAAGTTAGACAAGGAGGTCTGAGTTACTGTCCAGCTATTTTTAAGGATACCTTTAAGGACACAGTCAAAAGAGTGAACAATATGTAGCTATAGCATGAGGAGGAAGACAGCTGAGAGGTGTACCGATCTTAATTTCTCAAGGGACCAAACGTTGCCTTAAAGTAGGCAGTGAAGTCAAGTTTCCTTGGTACCAATTTGGAAAGGCAATTTCTTTGTTCACTGACATGACAGTGTAATTATGTTTTTATTAGGTCTCAGAGGCCATTGTAATAATATAAACCTACATTTTCTAAAACTGAAAAAATAACATAGTTATCCTAAGAGCTGCTTGGATTCACCCTATTTTACAAATATATGTATTTATATAAATATATGCATTTATATAGAGAGTCCTGGTGCTGTGGGTTAATGCACTGGACTGCAACATCGGTTTGAACTGCAGGGCAGCGGTTCAAGCTCACCAGCCACTCCTTGGAAACCCTATATAGGATCACTATGGGTCAGAACCTACTCGAAGGCACTTAGCAACAACTGCCAACCATGAGGTCCAGCACATTATCCCACAGCACCATACCAGGACTCCATACACAGACACACACATCCTGTGGACCCAGGGTCACTGCACTGAGAACACACACATATTGTTGTGAGTCTGAACAGCCTACCGTGTGGTTCAAACTGACTTTGAAGTCCTGTGCTTACCCTGCAGTGTCATAACAGAACTCCTATGTGTGTACATATACATGGGCTCCTGGTATGGCACTACAGGATCAGCACTGCGAACCATTCAAACCCACCAGCTGTTCCTCAGAAACCTATACTGGGTTGCTTTGAGAGTTACCAAAATCTGTCACATAAACATGACTAAGTGCATGCTGTTGGAATTTTTTTTCAAAAAGGCAGCATAAGAGCAATAAAATAAAGCACTATTAACTAAGGCATGCCTATAATCAGTTGTGTCAAGTGGGCTGTGATGAGAAAGATGAGTAAACATAATGGAGAAGTTGGAGGTCATTGGTGATATTGGTAAGAGCAGATTCAATGGAGTGCTGGGGGTTAAAAAAAAAACCACCACCTAATGAAAGAAGTGCAGCCAGAGTACTCCTTGGAGGTCAGGATGGCCAAATTTCATCTCTCATACTTTGGACATATTGTCAGGAGGGACCAGTCTCTGGAGAAGGACATCAAGTTTGGTAAGGTGGAGGGTCAGAGAAAAAGAGGAGGACCCCCAGCAAGATGGATTGGCAAAGTGGCAGCATCAATGGGCTCAAGCGTGGCAACGATAGTGAGGTTGGCCCAGAAACGGGAAGTGTTTCGTTCTGTTGTGCATAAGGTCGCTATGAGTCAGTACCGACTTGATGGCACCTAACAACAACAACAAATGAAACTGGTCTGAGGAAACACTGAGAGGTAATGATGGAAATGGCAAGTCGAACCAGCTCACAGTTCTGCTAAGAAGGGCAGCAGAGCAATCAGTGGGGCAGTCCTGGATGCAGGGTCAAGAGGGGAAACAGAAGGCAAGTTTCTACGCCAAAAATCTTCATGTCAATAAGGAAAGCAATGGACAACAGCAACGTGGAAGATAAAAGTCTCAGGACTTGGGCTTTCAGATGCTGAAGTTTTTGAGAGAAGGAAAAGGAATGTTTTGGAAGCAGCAGCAAGACAAAAAGAAGATAATTCTGTTAAACAACCTTCAAGCCTTGAAGAATGTGAGGCTATCTATGGGTAAAAAGAGGACTGTAGGAGAAGCAGTGTCTTTGTCAAATTTTCGTTGAAACAAAGGCAAAAAGTTTTAAAGACTTGGGATGTTACAGAGATGATAATCTGGGTTTTCACTATACCTTTTGATTTCCCACAACATCTGGAAAATGCAGAGTACTAAATGCGTGTCCACATGGATCATCAGTTAATGCTAATGATACTAGACTAGGCTTTAAATTGTTTGGCTCTCTTAGTATTATCACCATTGACAGTGAGCTGGAGAAAACCTAAAAATCATGCTTTAAATTCCAAAAGAGAAATGTAAAATTTTATAATACAATGTTAACAGGAGATTCAAATTCCATTTAACAATTCAAGCTTTTTTGAGGAATTCTGCCACACATTTAGAGCCATAAACTCTCTTGTTGTAGTTCCGTCCTCTTACATCTTATACTACCTCACTCATGTGAGTGTAGAAAAGGCTTTCATTTGCCTTCATATGCCATAACACAATGATACCTTATCTGTAAGGGTTTTACCTTCTCAGGCTAGTTTCCATTCTCTTATGAATATCAACTTCTTTGGAGAAAACATGCGATAAGCATATTTCTTGGGATGGCCTATTAAACTCATGTAATTCTAAGGCAGATATTAACTATAGAACAAAGTATTATTTGTCACTCAACAAGCTCTTCAGAAGAATAACATCTAATAAGAGTTTTAAAAAATACTTTGAAATTATTATAACTTTCTTAAAGAATCATCCTTACATGAAAGAAAAAGAAAATTCTATTTAGCAAAAAGAACATACCTACACAAACAAGAATAAATCCCACAACTTACCTCGATAGTAGGCCTTTGTTATTGCATCAAACTCCTCTTGACCTGCTGTATCCCATAACATTAGTCGAACATCTTCATCATTAACTCTGAAACAAGAGATGCATTTATTTGAAATGTAAAGGAAAATGACTTTAGTAATATAACTTAGTATATGTTTTAATTTTCTAAATTTGAAGGTATTAAAACTACATCGATAGCTTCACTTAGAAAAAGTCTGAGTACTTTCAAATGTTGAGACCATTACGAACAGTAAGAGTAAGGGGTGAAAGACATAACTAACTTTACACATGAATTAGATTTACCTGTCATGGTTTTTTTCTTGAACAGCCGTCACAGATAGCGGTGGCTCTGAGACTAGCAATGTTGGAAAAGGAGAAAAGTTCCCTTAGGTCAGGGTTTGCTCTCTTCTCACTACAGCACTGTAATGGATTTTAATACCCTAGTGATAAAATAAAGGAGCTCTGGTAACATAGTGATTACGAGTCAGTTTACTAACCTCAAGGTCAGTGGTTCAAAACTACCAGCTGTACTGCAGGAGAAAGATGAGGCTTTCTGCTCCTGTAAAGATTTACAGCCTTGGAAATCCTATATTGTTGTTTTTGTTGTTGTTAAGTGCCATCGAGTCAGTTCCGACCCATAGTGACCCTGTACAGGGTTTCCGAGGGTATAAATCTTTCCGGGAGTAGAAAGCCTCATCTTTCTCCTGCAGAGCGGCTGGTAGTTTTGAACCGCTGACCTTAAGGTTCACAGCCCGATTCGTAACCACTACGCTACCAGAGCTCCTTGGACATCCTATATAGGGTGGCTATAAGTTGGAACCAATTCCACAGCACACCACCACCACCAATGATAAAATAAGGATAAGGGAAAGCAGCAGCTTACCTGCTTGACTGCCCTTTGACTCAAATACAATTATTAAACATCAATTTATAATTCAGTAATAAGTATAAAAAATAAGTACCATCACAATTTAAAATATGTTCTCAGGAAGGAAGCAAATATGGAAGTATTCTAAAACAGGCAATAGGATACAAATTAGAAATTCATCAGTCTTTAAACCCAATGAATACAATTATTTGTCATGCTAATAGCTGGGCAACTAAATCAGATTTATTTAATGCTTCTTATTTCTGTAACACATTTTAGTTTATCTCCCACAATTTAAAATATCCTTTAAAAGTTCTACAGTCTGATGACAAAAAGTTCTTTGAACATATTTTAGCATCCAAGTAGATTTCCTGAAGTAGGCTCTTTTGCATGTTGTTGGTAGGTGCTGTGGAGTCAGTTACAACTCCTAGCAGAACAAAACACTGCCTAGTCCTGCGCCATGCTGACAATTGTTAAATTTAAGCCCATTGCTGCTGCCACTGTGACAATCCATCTTATTTTATAGGAGTATTTAATCTTTCTCAAGTCTGTTTCTCTGATTTCTTTAAATTAAATTAAAACCAACTTCTACTAGTCTTGCCCAGTTTGAGAGACAGAAGAATACAAAAAGAGAGAGAGAGATTCTAAACAAAAGGATCCCTTAATGTAAGAGATAAAAACTTTATTCTGAGAGACAGGTAACTTTCCTTCCAAATGAAGAGGTGATAGAACTCTCATTAGAATTAAGCATTAGTTTGTTTTTAAGTGTTCAAGATTCCACCACAATATAAAACAGATGTAAGATAGGGGGAAAAGGGAAGCTTTGAAGGAGAAAAAAATTGAAAGTAGAAAGACGACAAAAAAAAAAAAAAAAAAAAAGACAGGAAGAAAGATATACATGGGAATCAGCAATTAAAAACTATCACCAACTACCTCATGAGTCACTGCCACTAGCTTGGACTGTACTGTGATTAACATTAGTCTTGGACACAGTTCACACATCAAAATCAAGGGGATAAAATGGCCAAGTACATACTGGATCTGTCGCTCCAAAAAATCAACTCCAATGGTTTTCTTGTAGTCTTTTGTAAAAATGCCTTTGCAATATCGTTGGATCATACTTGATTTTCCAACTGCTCCATTCCCTACAACCACCATCTTGATGGCCACTTCCATATCCTCCTCCAACATTTCTGGAGTTGAAAAGGAGTTTCTGTAGCAGTTCTAGTTTCTGGTGATTGGATCTTCTCCTCAAATCTGGGATTGAAAATGCAATTATTTTCTTCATGGCATGAAAATTGTGCAAAATAAGCTACAACATAATAAATTGTCCATAGTATGTGTATATGAGCCAAAAGCTGTAGAAAAACACCCCCAAAGAAGATTTTGTATAATATGTATAATTACCACATACACCAGCTTCTTTAGATATGGACTAGTTACAGTTACTTATATAATGAAAGTAACAGAATGTGTGCTATTTGTATTTTAGACTGAAAAGAACAGAAAGTCAGTTTCTTCACATCTCCTCTTAAACGTAACTAATTTTTATCCATTTCACTTTGCTATTCTATTCCAACTACCTTAACTGAAAATTCATCTACATAACCACTACACATTGATTCTGAAATGTGATCAACTTTCCTTTCTTTGTCCCTAGTGGAGGCTCAGCACTTGTCCCTAGTATTTCAAAAACTTACCTGATCATAAGAATCATGTAAGAGCTTGTTAAAGTTTCGGTTATGGGTCTCCACACCAGATATAATTAATGAGACATTAGATAAAATTAACCAGATACAGTATCATAAAATCTCAGAGGAAGGGCTTTGGAAGCTGGTTTTTAAAACAAGCATGGAAGTGTGCCCTTAGTTCTCCCTTCTGGAGAGAAAAGGCACAAGAATGGTTGGCTGGCTTCCTCCAGTTGCCACACCTTCAGAATCCTCAGCACAGTCCATCCACATGGAGGTCACGCCATTAAACCTCAAAGCAGAAGACAGCCAGCGGAGTGAGAGTGTATGAGTGAGGCCACTTCTGCCCTAAGTGGGATTTCTTTGTGCTGGACTCCCCTTCAAACTGGCTGAGATGATCTCAGAATTGCACTGTGGACTAAAGTTCTCTCCCCACAATCCTCCTTGCCTTCTGCTCTCATTGCAGTGTCAAACTAGCATTGTGGTATGGCACCCTCCCCTTTACTCATCACTGGTATTTCCCAGAGTAAACTTCTTGCATTTCTAATTCCATCTTGGCATCTGCTTCCCGAAGGACCCAAACGAACGCAAATCACCTCCCTACTCCCAGACTGAAATGATTCTTACAATTAGGTAATTTTTAAAACATTAACCCTAGTCCAGTGAGTCTCAATCTTAGCTACACACTGGAATTATTTGGGAAAAAAAATTATTAATGCCTGGATCCCTTCTTCCAAGTATCAGAATTTAAACTGTCTATGAATGATTAAGTGCTGTACTACTAACTAAAAGGTTGGTGAATCAAATCCACTCAGACGCAGCTTGGATGTTGTTGTTGTTAAGTGCTCTTGAGTCGGTTCCGATCCATAATGACCCCATATAGAGATTCTGAGGAGTGGCTGGTGAGCTTGAACTGCCGAACTTGTGGTTCAAACCGACTTTGCAGACCAGCGCATTAACCCACAGCACCACACCTTGGCGGTAGGCCTAGCAATCTGTTCCCCAAAGGTCATAATCTTGAAACTCTACAGAGTACAATTCTACTCTGCACACAGCAAGTCACTAAGAGTCAGAATGGACTCAGGTAACAAGCAACACCAACATTAACAACAAGGGTTACAACTACCCTACATAAAGATTTGACCTTCAAGACGCTTTGTGTCATCTTACTATGATCTGACACCAATCTTCCTCTCTCCTTCAAGGTTTTCAGCCTCACAACCTCTGGCTCAGGAGATGGCCAGCAATTTCTTTCTCTCTACCTAGAGCAATTCTTCACCCCAGAAGATTTTGAAGTGAAAGAGAAGCAATAACAAAAACACACTGCATTTTCTCCTAAACAATCTCTGGGCATCTTGTCCCTGAGAGACACAGGCAATCTGTGCTCATTTGGTAACCAAAAGGTCGGTGCTCGAATCCACTCAGCAGCATGGTAGAAGACTCCAGTGTGGCAATCGGCTTCGATAAAGATTACTGCCAACCCTACTCTGTAGCCAATAGGACTTCTCCAAATAAACACATTTAAAAAAGAAAGAGAAAAAAAAAATCTCAAAACTCTAGGTATTATTATATATAAAACAAATATTATTGTTCCTAAGTGCCGTCGAGTCAGTTATCATGTATAGCGTTTCCGAGGAGCAATGCATAAGTTTGAACTGCTGACCTTGCAGTTCAAATCGACCTTGAGGTCAAGTGCTTATCCTATGGAGCCACACCAGGACTCCAAATATGAGACTCTGAAAAGCAGAGAGAAGGTGGTCACCAGCTAGGACCATGGGACCCATGGTACAACACAACAGTGGATTCTTTGAGTTTGCTTTTTACCGTACATATCCCAGGGTAGATATTAGATACGGGACAAGTCAGCCAGCCACCAGGAGACACTAAGGAGCACAAACCAAAAACAACAACAACAACAAGAAAGCCTTAACAAAAACCTGCTCCCTTTAGACAAAAGATCAGGAAAGCGGCAACCTAGCAAAAGAGAAAACTATCAAACCGTAAGTGCTCTATGCCAGCCAAACACTACAGAAAACACTAGGGTCCTACCTTCACCCACTACACCAGCAAAACCAGAGAAAGAAACTTAAACTTCCACATCTTAGAAATGATGACAAACGGGTGGTGTCAAAGAAGGCCAAATGGGACTCACTGAGAAGTAACAGTGTGACCCTCCAACTGAGAGTCTCATGTGGGAAACGTTGACTTCCAATACACCAAGCGATGAGTCATCTATCCACCTCTCTCATTGCTGGGGAGATGTCATAGAGGTCAAGACTTTCCACCTCCATTCAGTGATAGTGAGTCTACCACTACCCCTGAAGTGTCAGTGCTGAGACCAGAGGAGGAGTAACTAAGTGCCCCTGACTATCTCAGCCAGGGTGTTTTATCAGTGGGAGCTAGAACGCCTACCCATCTCCACCATTCATGAGAAGCTCCTCCCATTCTGTTTCAATGAAGAGTCAGTGAGAAGCCTGGGAGTTTTCCCCATCTAGCAAGTATTGTTGTTGTTAGGTGCTGTCTAGTGGTTCTGACCCCTAGTAAACCTATGCACAACAGAATGAAACACTGCCCCATCCTGTGCCAACCTCACATTCATTGTAACGCTTCAGCCCACTGCTGCTGCAACGGTCTCTCCTGATAATATGTCCAAAGTATGAGAGACAAAGTCTCCCCAACCTGGCTTCTAAGGATGATTCTGGTTATACAGATTCCAATACATATTTGTTTGCTCTTCTAGCAATCCATGGCACTTTTAATATTCTTCTGGTTAATGCGCTGGACTGCAAGGTCTGTTTTAACCGCAGGATCGGTGGTTCAAGCTCACCAGCCACTGCTCGAAAACCTTATAGAGGGTCACTATGAGTCAGAACCGACTGGATAGCACTTAACAATAACACTAACACCATAACTCAAATGCATCACTTCTTCTACAGTTTTCCTTATACACTGTCCAACTTTTGCATGCATGAGACAACTGAAAATACCATGGCTTGGGTCAAGTTCACCTTAGTCTTCAAACTGACATCTTTTTTCTTGAACACTGTAAAGAGGTCCTGTGCAGCAGACGTCTTGACTGCTATTTCCATGAGTGATGATAGTGGATCCAAGCAAAATGAAGTCTTTGACAACTTCAATCTTCTGTCCATTTTTCGTGATGTTATTATTGATCCGGTGGTGAGGATTTTTGTTTTCTTTACTTCTGGCAGTAATGATGTAGTATTACTCTTCCCCTCTTGGAATTCTGTCAGAAGAAGCCAGCTCCAAGAAACATGAGGAGGCCATGTCTTAATTCCCACCAAGTGACTGAATGGGACCGTGCATATAACGTTTATAGGACTCTAAAGCCAAGAATGGTTAGTTTTGCCATCCAGCTAGGTTTAAAAGGAGCCATCTCAGGAAGCAGACCAAATGATCCCAGGACCATCAAGAAATGAGATCAGGAGTGGAATATGAGATACCCACCTAGAAAAGTGGCAACAGCAGAGGCAGTGGCATAGAGTAGCTGGAGGCTTCTAGGTCCATGGACTGAATAAATCTGTGTGTCTAGAAGCAGGAGCCTGGCTTGTAGAATGTGCCCTTTGGACATTTACAGACTGACTAAAGGAGCTTGGTAACACTTGCCTGAGCAGGGCAGAGGCACCAGGATCACATGGCTGAAGGACGGAAAACAACAGCAAGGCATGACTATAATATGGCAGACAAGAGGGGTTCCTGACTGGAGAACTGCTCAATTTGGAGTTGTTTCTGATCCTGAATTGTACCTTGTTCACTTCCTTAATAAACCCCAAAATTGTAAATATTGTTCTGTGTGGCCATTACAATGGACTGCTGAACCCAGATGTGAAGCAGAGAGTGCTGTGGGAGGGATGGTTGGTGTCAGAACAGAGTAAAGAAGGGTGGAGAGTGGAAGCGTGTCTGACTTCTACTGCACAGCATCAGTCTTGGGCTGATACTGAGTTTGATTCTCCTTCAGGAGGAAGTCAGATTACAGCCTCCATGGAGTGGATGGTGTGGATGGTGTGGATGGTGTGAATGGAGTGGATGGTGGGATTTGAAACTCCTACTTTGCCACCAGGACTCTTTAGTGTATGTAAGAAACCTTTACAATTCAACATAAGAAAACAATTTTAAAAAAATGAGCAAAGGACTAGAAGAGACACATCACCAGTTTATTTAGATGGCAAATAAGCACATGAAATGATGCTCAACATCATTATCCATAGAAAGGCACAGACTAGGAACTCGAAGGAGCTCTGGTAGCGTAGTGGTTATGAACTGGGCTGCGAACCACAAGGTCAGCAGTTTGAAACTACCAGCTGTTCCACCGGAGAAAGATGAGGCGTTCTGCTCCCGTAAAGATTTACAGCCTCGGAAAGCCTGTACAGGGTCACTATGAGTCGGAACCGACTCCACGGCACACAGCCACCTGCCACCAGGAACTCTACCCTGCTATATAGGATTTCTATGTCCTACTCTGGAGTCCTATGCGTTAATGTGCTG